TACCATCGTGAAAAAATCCAGAAAAATCAAATGAATTTTGATCACTGTAAAATACTATACCAATAATTTCCTGAACAAATCTCTGAAAATAAAAGTTTACCAAAAATGACTAAAAATGCACTAATTTGCCTTAAAATACTTAGCTATGTCCTTTTATGTGGTTAAAAGTCAGAAAAATATACTTTTTTGGTACGCCAACCTTTGATCACAGTAATGTTTTGTACTAATACATTCTAGAAAGAAGTTTTCAAAAATAAAAGTTTCTCAATAATAAATACAAATGTGTTTTTATGTTTTAAAATACACAGCAATGTCCTTTTTTACGGGTATAATTTAGGAAAAAAAACTTACTTTTTTGGAACATATTTTACACTAGGGGTCTGCTGTATCTCATTGTGCCTTTGTAAAATAAAGAATATAATGTTGTTTGTGGTTGTCTCTGTGGGTTCCCCTTAGAACGAGATATGTAGACTTCAGTGGTAGATACTGATGCTCCTTTTTTAATGTCCAACAGGAATGTAACGAACATAAATCTTTGTCCTTGCTGGAGTGGTCCGTGTTCTCGCACACTGATGACATCACATCTGCTCCTGGCTCCTGCTCTCCGTCTCACCATCACAAATTCCCCGGAGTTACTGTTGCTGCAGGTGACTGATGTGTTCCTACGCAGCAGCTGTGTCCCCTGCTCCACTCCTCCAATGAGTTTTTCATTAAACTCTGATTGATTTGGCGTTTGCAGAACTGACATTAACGCTTGGAAAAGAGACTCTAAAGCTCAAGAAATACTATGAATACAAGAAGGACTCACACGGACATTGAGTATTTTATTTGCAAGTTGTCTTTTGAGTTCAAAATGTTTTTGTCACATGAAATGTAATTTTGTTGTCTCTGTGTCAGTTCATTATTTGTTTATTTTATTGTTTACACAAAGTGTAATCTAAACATTAAATCTAACTATATATTAAATATGACTGAAAAGTTTCTAAGAATGTCAATTTTATGGATAAACTTTCATCTTGTCTGCATATTTTCAATTGAAGTATAGCACTTTTTTTTAGAATTTTGTTTTTTTCAGAATTTTTCAGCATAATCTTAATTTAGTATGCCATTTTGGATAAATGTTGAAAATTGTGATGAATATTTTTGCAAACTGTTTTTTCCAAAATTGTATTCTGTTTGCAAGTTTCTCAAAAAATAAAAAATCCTAATTTCATGTGTCACCATACCAATAATTTCCTGAACAAATATAAAACAAAAATAAGTTTTTAAAAAATGACTAAAAATGCACTCATTTGCCTTAAAATACTTAGCTATGTCCATTTTTGTTGTTAAAATTCAGAAAAAATATACTTTTTTGGTATGCCAACCTTTGATCACAGTAAAATACTATACCAATAAATTCCGGAACAAAATCTCCGGAAAAAAA